GAATCCACAATCAATACCCATGGAAAATTAAGAAATAAAATGACATTTTGCATAGGGCAAATTAGCTGTCAAAGACCTCTTTAAAATGCCAAAGAGCAAAGGTGCCAGTGCAAAGGCTAAAGTGTGCCTGATCCAAACCAAAGTATTTGCTTGATATGTATCAGTAGTTTCATATGCATCTGAAAGTTGGAAAGTGGACAAAGAAGACTGATGAAGAATAGAAGCTTTTGAGTTGTGGTATTAGTTAAAAGTATTGCATATACCAGGGACGGCCAAAAGAATAAACTCAGCTCTCTTGGAGAAAATGCACCAGGGTACTCCTTGGATACAAGAATGGTGAGACTTCTCACATATTAACAACATGTTTTCATGATGTGTTTGTCAGTCCTTGCATAAAGACTTCATGAAGAGAAAAATTAGAAGGTCAATGAAAATTTTAAAGATAATCAACAAGACAGATTGATGCAACAAAGAGCTTGAATGTGGTAGGGATGTGATAATGGTACAGGGCAGGGCAAAGTTTCTGTAATATTTTCATGGTAGTATCACTATGAGTCTTAGGTGATGCAATAGCACTTAGCAACAACAAATGTATAGTTTAAGTATGTCCCTTGAAATATTAGTAATATATGGCTGTTGCTGTATTGTGTCAAGTAATGTTTTATTCCTAGAGGAGCTATAGAATAGAGTATAACAGTCCTACAAGGCTCTCAAGACTATCATTTTTATGGAAGGAGCCCTGGAACTGCAATAATTGGGTATTTGGCTTTTAATCTAGCAGTTGTTATCTACAGTTGGCTCCACTGGAGAAAAATATGGAGATAGTCATCCATAAGGATTACAGCCTTGGAAACCCTATCACCACCTCTATTCTGTCCTGTAAATTCACTATGAGTTGGAATCTATTTTGTAGCCATGGGTTTGTTAGGGGCAGTTAATCTCTGCAGGAGCAGATCCAGTTGTTTTACTTCAGCAAAGCTGTTGGGTTCAAGCCGCTGTTCTTCTGGTTCACAGCTGATTGCTTACCCATTCACCATTAGGGCACCTTTTTGGGGATATATCTGGATTAAAAAAGCATTCACTATTTGAAATAGTTCTATTTGAAATTCAAATTTAACTGCCTATTCTGTATTTTGACAGCCCTAGGGGCTCTGAAGTAATTGATTGAGAGTGAGAACCGAGCATCAGTAATTATAAAAATTCATCAAGTGATTCTAAGTCACACTTTGGACTGAGAACCACCTATCCACTGTTGTCAAGTCCAGTTCATAGTGACTCTATAGGATCGAGGAGAACTGCCCTAATCAGGCTTTCCGTGTTACCTATCTTAGCAGAAGGGATAGCCTCAGCTTTATACAGTGGAGCTACGGGAGGGTGGCTTCAAACTACTGAACTGAGAGTTAGCAGCCCTACACTTAACCCACTGTGCCACCAGAGCCCCTTTGAGATTACGCGAGCATAAAAAGGCAAGTTCTGTATCTGTGTTTATCTCTGCCATCCTCCATAAGCAAAGCATACGCTAAGCAGATGATGCTGAAAATAAGCAGGGAAGTGCAATTCTGACAAACGTCATGAATATGGATTCCACCACCATGTGAGCGAGTATCTTGGAAGAATCCCTGGGAATGACCAAAGTGATTACTGAAGGAGTGGCTGGCGCTTAATAGGGCCTGTGGTGCATGTAGGGTTGCATGGGCCAGGAAGAGGGACCAGGATCCTGTGTAAGACCTGGAGGCTGGTAAGGGAAAGCTTGAGGCCTCGTTGGGACTTAGATGGGTCAGACAGAGGAGAAAAGAGAAGGATGCTTTAGTTCAAGGTGAGTTTGGAGGAGTCAGAAGGGATGGCGTCACACTCTCTAGAGTTAGAGTTGTATCAATCATGTTGTAGAAGAAAAACCCGAGCCTTACAGAATCCATTACACAATTCTCTTTTTCCATCTTCCCTTCTTTCCTTTCCTTTCCTTTCCTCCTCTCCCCTCTCATCTCCATTTTCCCCTCACCTCTTTTTTTACTCTCTCACTAACTCCTCCTTATACTTTTCTCTCACAGGAAAATAAAAACCAATTATTTCATTGTATCTCTTGCCTTTGCGGATCTTCTGGTTTCGGTGCTGGTGATGCCCTTTGGTGCCATTGAGCTGGTTCAAGACATCTGGATTTATGGGGAGATGTTTTGTCTCGTCCGGACATCTCTTGATGTTCTGCTCACCACCGCATCAATTTTTCACCTGTGCTGCATTTCACTGGACAGGTAAGAACAGAGTCACACAGAGCGTGCCTGAGACAAGGTCCGGATTGCTGCACACTGTCTCTCTTCCCTAGTTCATTAGAAGAAATTACTCTTGGAGAGGGGGAAAAGTGGTTTTCAGGTATTCATTCAATTTCTGGGCTTGATAGGGAGTCCCATTTTTAGTCAGGCATTTCTTTCCTTCATTATTTCTTCTTCTTCTTTTTTTAAAATTATTTCTTAAACACCGAAGAAAACAGCTTAATAAGACCTAGATCTAGACCCAGACTTTTAGAGTGTACCCTTTAGGCAGCAACAGGTACCAGAAATCAGTTGTATCACAGAGCTTTAGATTTTATTCTTGTATTTTGAACAGAATTGTGAGGAATCTTAGTAGTAAGAATGAACATGCCCAGTGAGTCAGCAATGAGGGCAGTTTGGAATGCCTTATGTTGAGAAATATGCCCTTTGCTTGAAAATATGTCTCTATCATAAGTGGGGGAGTGAGTGTGTGTGAGTAAGTGTGTGTGTGCATATAACTATGGGGGAAGTAGGAGCAGGAGATTCTAAAGATTATTATAAAATGCCAAAAATTGCTAATTTTTTTTTATGTAGCCTAGCTACCATTTCATTCTTTTTGCATAATCTTGTTCTTTTTCTTTGCATTTAAATTTGAAAGGCCTAATGATTTCCATGTTTGTGTTATTTGCATTACACTAGAGATATATGCTTATCATTTGTATGGGTACTTTTTTCATTTTCCAATTCCTGCTCATTTGTATTCAGTAATAAAGGCAGAAATGCAATCTGAAAGTCAGATTATTATACTAACATATGTTCCTATCAATGTCGTCTTCTCAAAGAGGTTAGTTCCCAAAAGAAATTGCAGGGCCTGAATCATGAGCTATCAGAATTATGAGAGCAAATTTCTTAATATCTCTCAAGCAGGTCAGCAGATCCTGTTTCTCTTCCATACTTGGGACATGTCACTGTGTCTCTATTCAAGGACTAGAAAAGGCAGCTGATTGAAACTCGGGATTGTGGTATTCATAAAATATAGATCTCTAAGTACTAAAATCATCATCAACTCAGACAATTGCTCATCCTGAGGGAGGGCCTTACGGACCAGAGCCAGCTGAGGGAGCAGCGGATTCATCTTCCCTCTCTTGAGCTATGTTCTCATTGATTGGAACAGCAGACTTAATGGCCTGCTCTATTTAAATTACATTCCTTTCTCTCTCTCTCTTCTGCTCTGCCAAGAACACGTAGTTGAATGTGCTTAAGTTAAATGCATGTGTAATGAGACTCCCGTATACAGCTAGAGATAATGACCTGGGTAAAGCTTGACTAGTGGCTGGCAGCCAGCCCTGCCATGTGTCATACTTTGAAATTTGTGTTTATTAGCTCGCTTACAACAATCTGGATTCAGTACATGAAGAGGATTTTTGAGAGTGTCAGTGTACATTGTGTGAAAATTCATGTTACACAAAATAAAATGCATGGAAAGAGACAATTTATGGAAGTCCAAATAATCATGGTCCAAAAGAGTGGTAAAACCGGCAATATTACAGGCAGTAGCGGGCTACCCGGTGAGCAGGGCAAAGAAAGGGTTGTGCTCACTTACTGTTTAGTAGGGAACAATTTTATATATTTTCATCACATCAAAGATTCTATGTACAGGTTTTGTCTCTCTCTCAACCCCAAAGCATTTTCCTACAGAACGAAGCCCTTTTTTTCATATTTACTGTCCTTTACACTTACATAGTGCCCAGGAAGTAAGATAATCATTAATGCACTTGTGCTTGATTACTTACTAGAGTGACAGTTTTAAATAGGTTTCCCCAATTATTGGGTAGTGAAAGCATATAGAACTGTACATCACAGAGTAGCAAGTAAACCCGTGTTTACCTTACTGAGTAACCTTCCTCAATACAGGGAGCTCTGGTGGCCTAGTGGTAAAGAACTGTGCTGTCAACCCAAAGTCAGACAGTTTGAATCCACCAGCTACTCTGCAGGAGAAAGATGAGCAATCAACTCCTGAGAAATTTACTGCCTCTGAAAACCCAATAAAAGATCAGCTATGTGTCGGTTCTGATTCAATAGTACACAACAACAGGAACCTTAATACAGTTTGTAAGGTGAGGGTAGTCAGGGCAACTGAACATAACATGAAATTAGGGCAAAATTTAATCACATGTAGAAAGAAGTAGAGAAGTCAGATCTTTAAGGCATGGACAGTTTGTATTGGCCATCCCTGAGAAGGCTAAAGATTCTTGAGGTAAGGACAGCTTCCCAATTTCAGACTTACACATAGGTTCTTTTAGCTCTAAACCTTACCCTTCCTGAGCCACTCTCACTGACTCAGACACACCTACTCCCGTTGCCTCAGTACTGTATCAGTCTATCTTATCTGGGGTCTTCCTCTCCTGCACTGTCCCTCCACCCTTCCAAGCATGATGTCCTTTTCCAAGGACAAGTCCCTCCTGGCCACGTGCCCAGAGTACGTGAGACAGAGCCTCAAAATCCTAGCCTCCAAGGAGAAACTTGGTTTCACTCTCTCCAAAACAGACCTATTTATTTTCTTGGCAGTCCATGGTATGTTTAAGATTCTTCTTCAACACCACAACTCAAAGGCATCAATTTTTTTCTTCTGTTATCCTTAGTCATTGCCCAGCTCTCTGATGCATAGTAAGTAATTGTAAAGATCATGGCCTGGATTAGGTACACCTCAATTTGACATCGTTGCTTTTCAGCAATGGGAGAGCTCTCTGACAGCAGATTTTCCCATTGTAATTCACCTTTTGATTTCCTAATTGCTGGTGCTAAAAATGTTGATTATGGAGCCGAGCAAGTTGTAGTTACTAACAACCTCAATCTCTTCTCCATCCATCATGATGCTGCCAATTGTCCCAGTGGTGAGAATCTTTGTGAAGACAAGGTCCATGCCACTGTGGAATTTACACTCTCATGAGGATACTGACAGATAACAATTGCATAATTACTTATTTAAGTGTTTCATAAACACTTATTGAACAAATGGAATGATCAGTGTTCATATTTCTGGACAATGGTAAAATAGTCTCCAAGCTGTTGATAGGTGCCATTGAGTTGAGTACAACACACAGCAATCCTATGAACAACACATATGAACCTTGACCTATCCTGTGCCATCCTCACATTTTCTGACACACTAGAGTCTGTTTGCAACCGTCACTGTGTAAATCCACCTGGCTAAGGATCTTCCTCTCTGTCAAACCTTTGTCCTTCCAAACAAGATGTCCTTCTCCAAGGAATAGCCTCTCCTAGCAATACACTTGAAGTATGTGAGTTGTTGTTGTTAAGTGCTGTTGAGTTGTAGATGACTCATAGCGACCCTATGAATGAAAGACTTGAACAGTTGTATAACTGTCATAGTTTCTCCAAGTTCATAGGGTTTCTGAAGACAAGCTATTTTGGAAGTGGATGCCACTCCTGCTTCCAAGCTTTTTTTTTATCGGGGAGCTCCACCGACCACTGTCTACTATGGGTAACCATTATTGCATTTGATGCATCAGTGTCACAGTGTTCAGCATCACAGCAACCACGAGTTACCTCTGTACATCAAATGGACAGACCAGGGCTATATCTCTTTGAAGAATGTTTGAATGTAAGGAAACTAGTATAAAATAAAATTTTTTAACAAGACCAAAAAAACCCCAAACCTATTCAGTCTAATATGATAGGCACCACACACCTGTAGCTACTTAAATTCAATTAACAAAAATAAACATTCAATTTCTTAAACCACATTTTTGAAAGATACATGCACACACACACACACACACACACACACACACACACACGTATTGTTGTTAGGTGTCGTCGAGTTGTAGACAACTCATAGTGACCCTACGAAAAAAAGGCCTGAGCACTGTTCATAGAGTTTCCAGAGGCAAGCCATTTAAGAAGTCACTGCCACTTCTGCTTCCAGGCTTGTTTTAATGGGGAAGCTCAACCAAACACTGTCCACAATGGGTAACCATTATCGCATTTGGCATATCAATGTCACAGTGTTAGCATCACAGCCACTATGAGTTACCTAGATAGATGATAGATGATAGATAGATAGATAGATAGATAGATAGATAGATAGATAGATATAGAGAGAGATAGAGATATTATGTGCCATCGAGAGTCCAGGGTCTTCCTCTCTTGTTCTGTCCCTCCACCCTTCCAAGCATTTTCCAAGCATGATATCCCTCTCCAGGGACTGGTCCATCCTTGCAACATGACCAAAGTAAGTCAAATGGAACTTCAAAACCCTTGCCTCCAAGGAGCAGCCTATTTTCACCCTCTCCGGGACATAGCTGTTTGTTCAATATTCTTTTCCAGCATCATAACTCAAAGGCATCAATTCTTCTTCTACTATGCTTAGAGATTATCCATCTCTCTGATGCATGTCAGTTGTCTCCAGCATTGCCTATACCAAGAGTGAACTGGAAGGTCCATGCTGAACTTGGCAAAGCAATGTCGTTACCTGAAGGGTATAATTTCATTCATCATCCGACTTCTGTTTTTATGATGATTCTTCTGGCTTGCAGATTGGCTGCGCAAGGCTAGGTCATAGCACACAGCACACGTCCTCATGAGGTGTGATGTCATCCCTGTCCCTGTGATTCCCTGGCATGACGTCATATGATCCTCCCTTAGGCTGCAGTATCTGCTGAGATGACTGACATATAGGGCGGTGATACTCAATCAAGCAAACTGCCTTCTATTCCTGTTTGCCCAGATTGTATGCTTCTGGATCACAGCAAAAGGCACTGTTCTTTTAAGAGCAAAAAAAGGCATCCTTCTACTACCATTCTTGAATCCCCATATGTTAATATTTGAATTCTGTTAGCAATGAGAGCTTACTGCATACTAAAAAATAATCTTCAAATATTATTAAAATATGAGTCACATAGTATAGGACTGTAAAAGATCACAATTGCATTCAAAAGCCTCACAGTAAAATTTATCTTTTTTAAATTTAACATTCTGTG